CAGTTAGGGTGTCCCACCATGACCGTGGTGGTGGACCAAGAGCAAACCCTGCTAAAAACACTGGCAAGCTGTACCTAGCACCCTTGTCCTGGAGCAATCGGGGACTCAAAGCTTATGAAAACTGTAAAACTATAAACAAAACGGTGGCCTAGGAATTACTTGTTCCAAGATGCTCTTACAGTTGCAATCCCCCGTCCCCACGCAGCAATCCCAGGTACTCACGTCATTTTTGTTGAAATATTTCAGTGCACCTTCCCTCTCTGATAACACAAATTTTCGGCTTAAGAATTGCCCGTTGTCACGTCCTCTCTTCAACAGAAACCCTTCTCGGTACCCTGCAGCAGAAAGCAGTTGCTGAGAACCAGGGATAAAACGCTGTATTTAAAAAAAAGAGGCAGGGTAAAGAAAAGGAGAAGAGCTTCAGCTTCAAAACCCAGCAGAACAATGTGTGGCTGGATTGCTCAAGACACGAACAAAGCAGGCCGCCTTTCTCCTTCAGATTCGCCTTTCTCCTTCACATTTGCCCTCCTCACTCCACTCTTGCTCTTTTCCAACCGCTTGAGCGTCACAGATGTCCTGACACCGGGATGTGGCAGGGCAAAGGGGATTCCCACCGTGCATCCCGCCCTGCAACACAGTGGAAATCTTGAGGAGCGAGGCTGTGTCCCTGCCACAGGGATGCTGCTCAACTTACTCACTTAAGCAGTGCTTTTGGAGTAAGGGAAAGGCAGGCGAGATCTCTCCTCCTGTGTCGATGCCACTAAAAAATTAAAAATGAGGTGTGTGCATGCAGGGAAAGCAGCTTGGGGCAGATGGCTGTATTGGAGCAAGCCACAAATACATTTTTGCATGGAAGAAGGGGAAAATGCTCGCAGTTCTTCCCACTGGCTTCAGGGCACCTTGGTTCAGAAAGCCTCTGAGCCAGACGTGGCATCCCCTGCTCTCGGAGCCGGTCCCTCCAGCCCCAGGCACCGCGGGCAGGCAGCCTGGCCAGGCCACCCCCCTGCGTGTCAGCCCCGTGGCGGATCTGCTGCTCAGGAAGAACGCTACGCAAAATACGTGTGCTTTATTTAAAACTCAAAAGAGCCAGAAAGAGAGAAAAAAAAGAATCTAAAAGTCTTAACCCCTCAAATCAGAAAAGCACTTAGAGCTGATCGCTGCCAGCACCTCCTGCAGCAGCCACGACACCCAACTTATTTCACAGCAAGTTTAATTGACGCCCTTATTTTAAATGCTTCAAAACAAAGAAACCCCAAGAACTGTCCACTACAAGATTTGTGAATACCAACAGAGCAGTTTGACGGTTGTCTCCCATTTGTTTTATATATAATTATACAAAAGTTCTGTTGAACAAGTGTTCCCTTTCTCTCTTAGTTTCACACTTGTTAGGTTTTTGTTATTGGCTCTCGCGAGCTAGGATTTTAAAGTTAAAAACTGTATGTTTATAACAACTTTCAGCTAAGTAACTAAACTGTTGTTTAATATGCGAAATGGCTCTGGACTCAGCGGGCAGCCTCTCCTTTGCCTGCCTACTACGAACCAGTGGTGTGCAGAAATTCCTCATTCAACCTGCTTTTCACTTCTCCACCCTGATACAGGATTGATTTAAACCAGAGATGAAAAGATGCAGAAAAATCCCTCAACCAGCTCCTCCACACCGACTCTATAGGTACAAGCGATATGAAATGTTTCCATGCCACAAAAACCTAAAGCAAGACAAAAATGCACACAGACACACATTTAATGATCAGAAAAGACTGGAAGAAAAGAGGGATATTAACAGGAAAGCTGCGAACCAAGGGGAAGGTGCCCATCGAGCCAAATGTACCATTGCTGATAGCCAAAATACCAGTTTCTCCTGTCAGGACTTACAAAACTCTAAGTCAAACACTTTTTCCAGATCCTCAGAGACCTGTACTGAAGGCCAGGCAAAGCCACCGACATCTGCCACAAAGGAGTGTGATGGCGAAGCCCCCGCTGACCACAGAGAGCATCATTAATCCGGCCAACGCGTCCGATGCCTGGCACGCGGGGCTGCAACGGGCTGATAACTCGACGCAGATGGAGGCGGTGGGAATATTCAAAGCTGTCAGCAGGCTTTCCGTTGTTTCTTTATTCTATACGGGGTGCGTGCTGCAGTGGGGCTGTGTTTTAAAATGCAGGGCCTCCCCCTGCCCCCCGGAATGAGCGTGCGCTGCCACCCAGGAACCGGCGCGGGTGTTTCCATCCCAGAGCCCGCAGGGATCCCCCCTCGTGCGTTATTTACAGCTCGCTCGCATGAGAGAACCAGCACAAGCAGGGGGTGTGCATCTCCCCCGTGAGAGCCAGCACCCCCGCTGCCCACGCTCCCACGAACCTACCGCTCCCCGTGGCCACCAGAGCCAGCAGCAACCGAGTCCAGGCCACCGCCCAGAGATGCAGGCGGGACAGCCCAAAGCCTCAGTTATCCCACAGCCAGGGACAACTGGGGATGCCACAGCACTCTTCCACCTCTGAGCCCTCCCCATCCCTCCGGCGCAGGACAAGTGCTCCACCCCACGTGGGCCATCATCACCCATGCGCGGCCAGTGGCTATATTCATGCTCGCCAGCTCAGTAACCCAGAGGACTGATACGAGATGTATCAAAGGAATTCTCGGTCTCAAGCCCTTTCTCTGTTCCACCCACCCACCCAGCCATCCAGCTTGGAAGAGATTTCCCCAAAGCCACAAGCAGAACTGGCTAATTCAGTCCATCGATTCAATCCTATAGAGTCATAGAATCGTTTAGGTTGGAAAAGGCCTTTAGGATCCAGCTGTTATCCTAACTCTGCTATCCCACCACTAAACCATGTCCCTACGCCAACTGTGGGCTTGCTATGTACTTTTTCTAGCAAAAAGACACGTCTAACCCGTTGGAGAGCACTTGCAGCGTCAGAAAGAGAAGAACCCACAGGGAACAGGATTATCTGAAGTCTGAGCAAGGGGAAGCAGCCAAGAAAGCCACCGAAACTCAGCTAAGGGCAGCCGCATCCGACAACAGCGCGGGAAAGGCCCAGGCTGATGGATTCGCATCACCGCCGTGGTAGGAATCCATTGCCAGGGAACCGAAGTGCTGACTGATTCAGAGTCAGATGCTGCTCCCTGCCAGGCTCCTATCAGCAAAACGGCTACACAACCTACAGCGGGCTGTACACGACGGCGCTGAACAGCAATAATAGCTCTCTGACAGGAGACAGACAGGCAGAAGGTGATGCTCAGCTGATACATTTATAAAATGCAAGATTTGCTTAACGTGAGGCAGAAAAGCTGCCGGGGCTCTGATGGCTGGCATTTGCCGACTGCTCCCTTGTATGGCACAACATTAAGCAGCTTGCTCCCAAAGCGTGCGGTTTAGAAACCAGGGACAGGCAGTTTCTGTTCCTGAAGGGTGCTGATTTTTAACGCCAAGTCAGTCGGAGCAACTAGACAGTACCTCAAAAGCCATTTCTATTCGCTCCACTAAATGGCAGAGACGGTTTCTGAGCCGCTCCGCCGCCTCTCCGCGGCTGACATTGGGGGAACACTAACATCTCGAAGGGGGCTGGAGGGAGCTGGGCTTGGAGGAAAGGACATCGGTGTCAAATGAGAGAGAGGAGAGGCAACACGAGGAGAACACCTCCAAATACAAACGCGGGGTGATGCAGAAGGAAAGCCCCTCTTTTCCTTCAGAAATCCCCACCTGGGGTTTGCTCGGCCCAGCAGAGCATGCTGGGCACACAGAGCTCAGCTCTTGGTGGCTCCACCTCAGAGCAGCTCAGCTCCACAAGACTTGGCTGTAAGTCTCATCCCTTCATTCATCTTGAGTGTTTCATTATGAACATCTGAATGGCCAAGGATGCTGCAGGCATTCCTTATTAAACCTGTTCCCCTCCATGGCACATTTTTTGTGATTTTTTCTTAACACTTAAGGGATGAAGAATAAAATTACTCTACATTTCCCCAAAGAGTATCTCAAACAATTACAAATCTGTAAAGTCCACCTCATGCTTACCCCCGGCATCGTAACAGTTATGTACAAAGAGAAGGGAGCCCAGAGAGGTTTGCTGAGCTGCCCAGGACAAGACCGTGAGCCAGTGTCCAAGTCAGGCTGGAAACCCAGCTTTCCCTCCCCTCTTACATAGGGACATTTCATCATTTTGATCTTCTCTTTCCAACCTTTTGTGGCAAAGCACAGTATCCAAATTCCACTCCAAGGGAGAATGAAAAAAACCCAACCCAACAGTAGGTGTTATCTCTTTCCGTAGTTCACACGCTGGTTCTTCCCAGACCGACTGCCTCTGCAAAAGAGCTCCTGGCTGCCCAGACAAAGCCAGCTGCTAATTTCACTGTACTTCAGTACAGATTTTCATAAATCCTTTGCTTGCTTCTTTTCTTTTTCTCTCTTCCTTCCTTCCTCCAGGGCTGCATCCTCGGGAGCTGTTCCTCTGCTCTGCCCAAACCTGCTGCCCACACCTCTGTCAACACCAATCAGAGCAAGCCACCATGAACTGGACTTGAACTCAACATGAACCCATCCAGGTTCCCCAGGCAAAGAGCGTGTCAGCAAGATGTATCCTCGATGTCCTGATCTAAAGGATTGTGAAAACAGCTAAAGAAGGTGTTGAGAAACAAAACTGAAGGAGGCTGAACAGTGAACAGATCTCACACCGGAGGGCATTGGAGTCGGAGAACGAAACCATCTCTTCCTCGTCTCTGTGGGCTGCACTGCCTTAGCAACGGCTTCATATTTAGAGGCATCTGGCCAAATCCAGATCTTCATGAAGGCTGTTGTGCTTACGTTGAAGCAAAACGACCGCTAGCACTACAGCACTTGCTGATTGCTGGTGATGGATCACGCAGCATTGGGTCACCAACACGTTTGCTTCCCCTCCCAAGGCACAGAACGAGGGATGCGGTCGCCTGTCGTCATCCCACTTGATTACCAGCACCCAACCCAACCATGACTACAGAAAGGACTACCTGCTGGGGAGCACCTACAGGCACCCTTTAGGAATGTCACTCTCACATTGCTAACACCATTGCTGTTCTGTCGCCAAGTTTTCTGCATCACTGCAGCCGCCTGCCAAGAAGAGAAAAAAAACCAACCGCTTGCTTTTGTAGGCAGTTCTGGCACAAACCTGCAACACTTGCAAAAAAACCCACCAAGCAGTTGTGACAAAGTTAGCTAACAAAGGGCACGTCATATAATCTGAAATCGCACGGTCGGAATGGATATTTTTGACCCATTAATGTAGTTTCCCAGGTAAAATGAGGAACTGTCACTTCCACACTCACTTCATCACCACAGCTAAAACTCTGTGGGGGAAAGAAAACAGG